GGACAAGTTTGGTCCGCTCATCTTTCCCATACATCGCGCTGCCTTACTGCGGAAGCGTATTCTAATATCATGCCATGCACCAGTCCATGAAGTTTGTGATTTTGGTAGGTCATATCCCTTCAGTTCGTAGCTTTTCATTAATGTTCCTAGTATATAACCTCTCTGTTCTTTCCAATATTCCCCTATCTGTCACAGATATACTTCCAGGATCAGCTTCAACGCAGCGTCTAAGACCGCTTTTCTCTATTGGTGTCCATGATATACCTTTCCTCATGGACGACTTTGAGGCGTCCAAGAGACCCCGCAATGACGAAGATGCGATAGATGACGAATCAGGCTCCGGTTGGATTGCATGCACCACTGACAGCATTCTCGCTATGAAGGACACACTATGGGATATGCTCGTCACTTTGCCTCCCGACTACTCCTCTAATGCTACAGAGCGAGTCTGGCCCGTGGTCGAATGCCCTCGAGGACAGCCTATCAAGGCGACCCAGCGAGATCTTCGTCGTTTTACCACTCTAAAGAACGGCCTTGCCCGTCTTGCAGCTGCTAGCCAGGTCCCTAGCGCGGTCCCCGAGTCTCCTGAAGAGGAGCGTGCTGCGCGTAGATTTTCTACCCAGTCAAGTCATATCGTCCGTGACCCACGAGACGACGCAGTGGAGAAGGTCGTCGAACCGCTGACATGGGCAGCTTTTGCCTATAATGGTTACATGTGGTGGGCCAGCGCTGGTGAACAATTGCGTCAGGAACAGCAAGAAGAGGCAGCTCATGATGCCTCTCTGCTCGCCGATTTTGGACCCTCTATGACTATGCCACGACCAGGTTCTCGCTCTGGACAATTATCAGACTCACTCGGGTCTCTCAATGCCAACAATCGTGCCCCTGATGGTTCGGGCGAAGCCCGGTTTGAGCTTGCTATCATTGCCTACTTCCACCGTCTCACCACACAAATACTATCAGTGTTAGCTGATCTAGCTGACAGCCAGGACGAGCCATATACTGACAATGACGATGATGACGAGGGCCTGTCACAAGCTTCGGGCGAAAGAGCACCGCTTCGTCCATCAGATTCTGAGCTCGAACCTGATGATGCTGACGCTATCCGCGTAGACAGCCATGCTGTGGAAAGCATGGGCCTCGACGTCTGGAGCGATACCGATGCTTTGTTCATTCGTGAATTGTCAATCTTGTACTTTGGTCGTCCCGCTCGCATTGAAGGCAAGGGTGTCGAAGTCTGCGGTGTAAGAGTATGCTAAGAAATCACCCCACTCACTGTTCGAAAGATATGTACAAGCAAGACGAAAGCTGGTCTTGGTCTTTGGAACCCTATATATATACGCATAGTCTATATCCCGAAAGGTCCTGAGAGAATCTGAAAGAAGCGATACAAGAAGTGTACATAATGTATGGAAACAAGAACGTCGCCTCACTGGCAACTGTTTCAAAGGGGATGAAGAATGTTAATTCGGGCGCTTGTCATATTATACGATGGTTGCTCCAATACAGGCTTTTTTGCTCGCCGGAGGCTGAGGTGAAAACTGGAAAAGGTGTCTTGGTGCTTGAACGTAACAAGCCGGGTGTGGAAATAATTTGAAGTTGAATGAGAATAAGCACAACAAGAAAGAGTTATGTACTGAGTGTGTGTGTGTGTGTGCCTTAAAGAAACCCCTAAACTCCCAACTTGTTTCTCGATCTCGATAGAGAAACAAATGCCCAAGCTTTAAAGTGTTTGTCATCTTCCTCCAGACTCCCTCCCTCCCGTCCTAATACATACATACACAAGGATTATATCGCTTCCGTATACACACATCATGCTCCTGAGAAGGGCAGGGTTTCGCTCATGATTTAGTGATTACAGTACTTTTGTTTTATATCCACAAAGAGAGACTGGTAGGCCGTTATGACTCGTCCTCAGTATCGGTATTTGTTGCGCTGGTGTCATCCTCCTCCTCATCTGTTCCACTCTCATCCTCAGAGTCGTCAGAATCCCTTCTGCGGGTCTTGGGAGTTTGACCAGTCTTGAGAACGTGCATCTGTCCAGCGAGGGAATCTGAAAGGTTGTTAGCAGGAATATTCGATAATTCGGTTCGCAATTGAGACTTACCCTCTTCAGGTTCACTGATCTCGTCCTCGGCTTGCATCTCGGCTGCCTTGCTTGCTTCCTCAACTACCAAGGTTACTTCCATCTTGGTATCGAAGCCGACATAGGAGTCGCAGATAACGTGCAAAACAAAGGTGTAGTGACCAGCTTGAGGAGGTGCGGCGAATTGAGCCTTGAGAGTCTGCATGTTGAAAGTAGGCTTGCCCTCATCATCAATAATAGGCTGGTCGAACTTGGCGAAGTGGAAAGGAGGAACAGCCATCTTGCCTTGCTTGGAGTCGCTGAGGAAAGCGTGCCATTGGGGAGAGTGATCACGGGCATAGTAGGGGGCGTGTGTTAGAGGGGGCAGGATTGACTCCTCCTCGATAGGAATGAGCTTGCCGTCAGGACCCTTGATAGTCTTCTTCTTGCGTCCGTTGATAGCCTCGATATCGTCCTCAGCCGGGTCAATGTCCTCGAGATCCAGCTCGTTGACAGGAGGAATGTTCTCGGTACCAGGAGGAATGAAGCGGCCCTTGATGACAAGAGAAACCAGTGACGAGGGGATAATAAAGCGCTCGCCAGTAACCTTGAAGAAAGCCCTGGATACACGGAAGAAGGGTATCTGCTTAGCGACGCCGATCGCGGTCTGGTACTGCTCCTCAGTCAGGAGACCCTTTCCAACAGCAAGCTGTCTGCGCTGTGCGTCTGGTCGATCCATAAATCGGTGGACAGGCATGTGCGTCTTAGCGTCACCTTCGATAGCACGAGCGATCTCTGGAGTGATGTGGGGGAGCTGGAGAAGAGGAGAGGCGTGGGGTGCAACAGCTTGAATGAGGTTCTGGCTGGTGTAGAACGAGTTGGCAATAGGACCAATGTTTCCGTAAGCGAGAGTGATGGCGTTGAAGGACTGGTTGAGGGCGCGGGCGATAGGGCCAACCTGGAACTTGGCCTTGGTCAGAGCAGGGTCGTCGAGCTCAACACGGCCAAGGTAAGCCCAGAGAAGAGCGAGTGCCTTTCGACGAACACCGTTATCAAGATCCTCGAGAGCCTCCTTGTCCTTGAGCGACATGCCAGAAGCAGTGGGCCCGACCTCGCTTTCAGCTGTGATTCGTGACTCGATCTTGGAAAGACCAGATTCGCCCTTGTCGCCCTTCAGAATGTCCTCGAACTCCTTGCCAGCGCTGAGAGCAGTGATGATGCCGCCCTCCTCGATTTCGTCGTTGTATTGTCGGAACAGGTTGTTGGCGCTCTCCATCAGGACACCTTCCTTGGACATTCTCTTTGTGCCGTACCACCATGATCCAACGAGCCAGGGCAGAAGGACTCCAAGAAGCATAGTGTACAGAAGAACGACATACTTGCCGTTGCCATCGGAGACCATGAATTGAGGAAGAGCAATTCCCATACTAAAGCTCTGCTTTCCATCGGGGTGGCCATATTGGATGTAGTTGTTGCGCACGTCTTCGTCGGTGAGCGCTTGGTAGGCCTTGGTGAGTTCGACGTAGAAGTTGTTGAGGGATTCAACAGTCTCGTTCTTGGCCGGGTCAGGTCGAACCTTGTCGGGATGGAACTTGAGGGAGAGCCGCTTGTAGTGCGACTTGATTTGCTTCTCATTGAGAGACTGTAGTGATTGTGTCAGCAATGTCACTTGAGAATGATATAGCCGTCGCGAAGCTTACCTCTGAGATGCCAAGAATATCGTAAGGGTTCCAAAGCTTGGGGACAGTTCGCTGGGTGACCATGATCAGGTAGGCCATGCCAGCCATGAGGGCCCAGCCGATTATCACGAAGATGACCCGCTTGACCCTCCATTGGCTACGCTTCTGCGCTGACTTGAGCGACTCGACAGTAGCCGCATGCTCTGACTTGTAGTTGGTCTTGATCCGTGGCGCAAGCGCATCTTGGTCGCGGTTCGGGCGAAGGAGTGTGTAGGTAAGGGGAACAGTGACGATGCCAGTGAGGGTCAGGATAAAGAAGGGGAAGAATTGGCCCTGGTTGTTCGAGTTAGCCGGTGTCGAAGCACAGAGACAATGCCCGTTCTTACCTGCTCGTCATAAGAATAGTCGGAACTCATCTTGACGGGTTGAAGAGAGCCCCAGGGCTACTCTCAAAGCAAGCTCGAGGGGAAACGTAGGCCACAAGTCGAGGCGATCTATCGATGTAATAGAAGACAGATAGAAACAAAGACGCACAAAAGGGCTCCAATAAAATAAAGAGAAGGCTCTTAACAAAATCAAGTTCAAGTTCTCTGCCCCAAAAGAGTGTATTTTACCGGCAGATAATATTGTGCTTGTTGTTCGGGGGGGAAAGGTGAAGTTGAAGAAAAGTGCTGGTGTCGTCTACTACCTTAGTTACGGCCACGCAGCGCATTTCCCATGGTCGACTTTGGGTTGGTTGGAGTAGGAAGCGGGCGGGTTGACGGCTGCCGGTGATCGGATTATCTGTCACTCCCCACTTGCCGCCTGCACTGAATGGCTCCTTTTGCCGTACCAGTCCAGTACGCGCCACCGTGTTCTCAGTTTCAGAGGACCAGGACCCTACCTAAACAATTTTAGAAAGGGACAGCCACTGTTTCTTAGTGTACTCAGCCCTGCAGTCTATGACCTTCTAGCGCCAACCCCAACTCTATTCTATTTCGAGCCCGGCTAAGGTACAGCACCTCCTCAGAACGGAGCAAGTGAATTCTGTTACTTAAATAGGAACGAGGCCAACTGGCCATGTAATTCGACAAATGAAACGCTTGATGTATATTAAAGACGCTTATAATGATAAATGATCTACTTGTTCCTCCCAGTCCTAATCCAATTTTCAAACCCAAACTTATAAAGCAACCTTGAAGCTATGCTACTAATATAGAGACATCCAGTGCTGCTCGTATTATATCCACTCCCATCCATCTTACACGATACTCAGCTCAACTGCTAACCTCCGAGTCACTCTTCTCTCCGGGCTCCTCGTAAAGAGTATTCTCGTCGAGGGTGGTCATACCAAGACCAAGCCCACTGAGATCTTCCACATCGGTCTCGTCCTCTGTAGTTGCACCGTTGCCCATCTCCTCCGCCAGAATGTTTCTGATATCCTCCTCGCTGAGAATAGTTTGAATGCTGCCCCGACGCACCCACGGTCTCGAATCAGAGCGTCCGCGTTCAACCAGTCGTTCAATCTTGAGTCTGTTCTCAATAAACTTGAGCTTGGGGAAAGCACTTTGCTTTCCTTCGTGAATCATACGGGATAGTCGATGAGGGTCAGGATCTGATAGAATACGCCAGAAGTCTGAAATTCTCGACTTTGGCCAAATCGTAATAGTACCGCTGAATTGTTGAAGCCAAAGCTGACTCCAGTCTTGACCAAGGGGCCGGGGCAACAATTCGGCATGACGGATAAACTTGAGCCACTTATTCATGTCCAGTTTGAGATAATGCTCAAACGCAGACATCAGGTAGCCGCCTCGCCACCCACGCCCCTTGCGATGTGTGACTGGGTGACCAACTGAGCCTCGAGAAGAGAAAAAGAAAAGATTGATATGTGGGTTGACTTGGCTGACAATTGTAAAGTTGACGTTAAAGTGTGTGTTCAAGGCCTTGATAGGAATATCCGTTCGTAAACTGCCATCCTTCCACTTGTGGCCAAAGGAGTACGGCTCTAGAGAACCGTCTCGAGTCTTCATCATGAGAACGACGGGATTAATAATTCCAGGTACAGCGGCCGATGCCAATACCGCCGACCAGATAACACAATCGGGGCTTGTGAGGTAGTTGCAAAGAATCGTCGGCGAATGGGGGTCGGCTGGCACACAGGTAACATTGAGAATGCGACCTGTTCGTTCATAGGCTTCTCGGAATGTCAAGGAACCATGCGTCCACCAGCCGCATCGTCGTGCCCAATCAACACAGTCAAATCGAGCTCCAGTTTTCCACCATCGAGGAATCCAGACTGTAAATGGTTCGCGGCAGGCGTTGATCCGCTCAGAAAGTGCTGGCACAAGAAGCTGCTTGAGCTCATCGTTTGTTCGAGTGGCCACCAAAGCAGCTACTAAAGCACCACCACTTGTGCCTGTAATAACGTCTGGTAGCAGATCCGCATCGAGCAAAGCTCGGACAACACCAATGTGATAGTAGGCAAAGGCTGCGCCTCCCGAGAGACAGAGAGCTGTTCTTCCGTAGTTCGCATAGACGTGTTTGAATAGCACTCGCTTCTGCTCCATCTCGAGCTGTTTGGTGTTTATCAGAAATTTGATGCACTTCTCCTCTGCTTCCAGTTAGAATGTTCGAGTATCTAAATAGGACAATGAGACTCACCTTCATCGAGGAAATTCTGTACCAGATTTTTGGTTCCATAGTACGTTTGGCTGTATAACCTCGCGTTCTCAACGCCAACAAAATTATTCTTGACGCAAGCTTCAATCAAGGTCTTCAGCTCATCCACCGCTTTACCTCCATCACCCTTCTCGCCCTTACTTTCTTGCTCTTCAGCGCGCAATCTTGTCTTCTTCATCTGCTCCCAAACTCTTCGAACAGTCTTGGAATCGTAGTACGCGAAATCGTTCTCTTCCCTCCATGTTTGTCGACCCAGATAGTTGTCGAGCTCCTTTGCGGCACTTACCCAGTCCTCATACTTCGAGGCATTTCGTAAATTCCTTCGGAGTCTTTCTCGCTGGCCGCGCCATGTGAAGAAGTGCTCATACACCCAGATATATAGCCTTGTCGAGAGATATGCAACGACAAGTCCACCGAGCCATGCAAACACGAAGAAAAGCAGAGGCCACTTTGAAAGTTGGTATAGATATCCCTCCCGAGTCTCATCTTTGGTGCGGGTCCCTAGAAGGCCTTCAACGGCCCCCTTTCCACCCCTGCGCTTTCTCTTGCTTCGCCTCGAGCCACGGCGACGGCTATAGATCTTCTCGTTAACAGGCGCCCAGTCGTTCTGCGCTGTGATAAATGTCCCTTGACTCGGTGTGGGCGGGACAGGAAGATCTCCAGAAGCAACGTCCGCGGCGGCGGCGACAGCAGCTACATCATCCGCAAGGCCAGATTCGACCTGCGAAGGCCTCTTTGTCACACTGAACGAACTCGGGCTACGTGGCGACCGAGCGCCGTTTTCATCGGCCGGACTCTGAAGGGGATCAGGAGCCTGGAGCGCCTTCTCAAAGGCTTCCAAGTCTTGCGCATCGACGAATTCAGTGTCGACATCAGGAAGAAGGGAGGGGTCGAAAGACTCCGGTGGAAATCCATAGACTGGATCACGAGGCAGTAGTGAGGAATATGACGAGGACGACATTGCGATTGATTTTATGCTGTAATTTCTAACCCATTGCTGACAGAAGAGAGAAATAAGTAAGTCAGATTTCTTAGAATCGTGAGATGTTGCAGCGGGTTAAGGGAGAAATTGATTACTATGATGCGAAGCTCTGTTGGGTTGCCTTGTGACGATCCTAGTAACATGACGTAGATTCCGTTGGGGAAACAGTACCTACAGAGGTACATTTCCCGGGGATCCATACCGCTCCCAGGTCCGTCTTGGCGAACCGAGGCCTCTATCGAACACCTGGTATCACCACCTACAGCGACTAGAATGAGCCCACGAGCACTAATCATGAGATGTGATACGCATAATCTCTCTCTAATTCTTGCCACCTTCTCTTTTAGCTACATTTAAACTAGTCGCATCACGCATCATGATACGTGTGTATTCCGACGATGCCTAGGCACAATAATGTCGTTCATGAGCATCCAGCCGCCCCTTGTAAGACACCCTAGCACATAACACCAGGGGTCTGATTTTTCCATCTTCAGGAGCATTCCCCAATATGAGGCTCGGCTAGATTTTGTAGCAAGTAAATATAGTAGAATTGCAGGACCAATGTTCGCCTAAGGGAGAATTCTGAGTCTCATAAAACTGAAAATCACTTGTCCTCTCTACCTCTCCCCAAAAGGACTCGACTCGACGGAAGGTATAACCTCTCTAGCTCACTGCCTCACTTCTTTCAATCTCATCCCATCTTCCCTACTCCTCTTTATACGTACTGCGACAACCAGCGTATAGCTTCGCCATAGCCTTGTCGCATAACCACTGAGCACATGAAGAGCTCGATAGGTCGGATGCCCTCGAGAGGGACCTTGCCCTTGCCGGTTGTCTGGTAGAGGCCGAGCTGGTGTCGCATCTCATCCTCAGAGATAGCATCGGGGTGGTCGATCTTGTTGCCGAGAATGACGAAAGGAACCTTGGAGAGCTCCTCCATAGAGAGGAGGGCATCAAGCTCGGCCTTGGCCTCACCGAATCGCTCGTGGTCCTTGGCGTCGACGAGGAAGACAACGCCGTTGACCTCGGGGAAGTAGTCGCGCCAGATACGTCGGGCTAGAAAAGTTGTTAGATATGTTTGCGGGGTTGACGGGGTGGTGTATCTGTGTACCCTGCTGGTGACCGCCGAGATCGAAGGTGGTGAATCGAACGTTGCCGATGGCAAGCTCCTCGGATGCTGTGATGTCTCAGTATAAACGCATTGTTGATGCTTTCAAAGAGTATCTTACTGGGATGGAGAGTGGGCTGGAGGATAGCAACACGGTCGTTCTGTAAATCCATCATTAGTCGTCATATATCCCCAAAACCGCCACCGCTGGCAACAAGTATCCCAGCTGACAACCATCCATCCAACAATCCAACAGCATTGTGTCGACGCACCTTCAGCATGTGAAGCAGAGTAGTCTTTCCGGCATTGTCGAGACCCAAGAAGAGCAGCTTTGCGTGCTTGTTGAGCAGTCCCAAGGAGGACAGCACATCATAGACTATACGCAGCACGTGTCAGCCCATTCAAGTTACCAGTTGTTTAATCGTAACCGGTTACATACACCAGTTGACAATCCACATGTTGTGTGAGTATTAAAGACGAGTATTAAGTTGAAATAAAAGGTTGTGGTGTTATTATCTTGCACTTGAGAAAAAGATTCGTCGTTATCGTTGGCGTCGTGGAATGTAGCAGCTGGTGGATTGTTAGGAGGCGTTGCATTGAACCAAAAGCTGGCAAGAAAGGGACGCCGAAGTGATGCCTGAATTACAAGGCATACTCATCGTGCATGTCACACCGTACAGTTCCGTCCCTCGAATTCCGAGCTGCAGGTCAGCTGGCACAAAGGACAATAGTGGCTAAAATTTGTAATCTACGCAGAAGAAAGGTATTTGCTTGCTTGTTTTTGTTCCGGAGTATTCACGATCCCATCGCCAGATTGTGGTGAGTCGAGGCCCGTCTCCAAGACTCACTTACACCAAAGTGACCAGCTAGTGACAGCCCCAATGGTCAACGAGACTTAATCACACTTGCCAGTCAAATCAAATGACTGTGTAGTTTAATTCATCCCATTGCTCTACATCACGGGAAGCGAACAATATATGGCAGAGAATCATTGTCGTGATTGATATTCCGCTAAATGCATTTATGTCATGATAGCCTCTCATCCAACGCCGAGCATGTAACCCAGTAATACCAAATGCTGTATCGGGTATCCAAGCAGTTCAAAATAGGCTCCTTTCCGCCAGTAGCGAGCGTTGTCCGGCCGCTTTATGCAGTATGACAAAGAAAAATAGAAAAAAATATGTACAGGAAATCTCGAACATTGCGAGCATCCAGGGTCCATTACCAGTATATACAGTAAAACAATCTCGGAGACCAGGCCGAGAAGGTGTAAGAAGAAAGGACATTTGAGTCATCAAGTTAAATCGTATAAGATGTATCATCTTCGTCGTAACGTGTCTCGCAGTCTAAATTGAAAGCATCGATGTTCTCTTGCAAGGACAATCAAGCATGCTTAGATGGAAAGGACATAGTTGGTCTGGTCCTTCTTGCCAGCCATGAGAAGGCCTAGTTCCCTCATGCGTTCCGTGCCGCGACCGGGAACAGGCTTACGCTCGGGGATCTGGCCTCGTCGAGCGCGGTTGCAGTACTTTTGGTGGAATTTCTCTTTGCGTCGCTGACGCTTGCTCTCCAGACCCTTGACAATGTCGATAGCGCCACGAATGTGGGTATCGTTGTCGTATTTGACCTTGTGTCGAGCCTGCTTTCGCTGGTGGCACATAGCGCCGCCACGAGGAAGAGACTTGGTGTGAGTGAGTCCAGGACGACCAGCCAGGTTGAAGTTGACTTGGCCGCAGCGAGGAGATCCAAGAGGGGTAGTGATGGGCTTGCGCATAGGAGCTGGGGACTTGGCCTTTCGAGGTGATTGACGGTCAAACAGAGGCTTGGGTGATCGGCCTCGGACCTTAGGAGGGGGTGAGTGATGACGCTTGGGGGGAGGAGAGCGGAATCGCTTAGGAGATGCATGCTCGCTCTTACGACGGCGACGGGGGCGGTCACGCTCCTGATGAAGGTCTTCCATTTTGCCCTGGAAGAACTCATCATCCTCGTCACTTGAGTGGTGAACAGGGTTGAAGATCTCACCCTCGTTTTCCTCCTCAGGCTCGGAGGCAGGGAAACTGGGATCGATGTCCTGAGGAATGACGCGAAGCTTCTCATTTCGTCGAGCTGCGAGGCAGGAAAGGTAAGCTTCCTCAAGAGGACGATCCTCGTCCAATGTGCCGCAGACAAAGTCAGTGCTGTCGGGAAGATCAGGGGCCTCCTCGGCATATCTGACGCGCTTTGAGCGACGGTTGGCACGCTGGTTGTCCACGGTAGTGATAGAAGAGTCAGACTGTAACTCGTGAAGAGAAGGGCGGCGCATGAGAGTAGCACCGGATCCGATATGAACGACAGATTTGGCTCCAGGAGTCCAGAGACGCATGTCATCGTCCTCATCATCCTCATCCGAGTCGGCGAATCCGGTCTCTTCATCGGTGTGATAGCCATCAGAGTCGTCATCGTCCTCTTCGTCGTCCTCATCATCCTCGTCGAGCTCAACATCGAGTTCGTCCTCTTCGTCCTCATCTCCATCCCCTTCCTCCTCATCATCGTCGTCGTCGTCAACGTCTGCATCCTCCTCATCCTCGAGCTCGTCTTCTTCCTCTTGCGCCTCTTCCTCTGCCTCGGTAGCCAGACGTCGAATGTTGTTCTCCTTGGTCAGAGTGTCATTGATTGTCAGTTTAGTTGCAACAGCATTGCTATCACGTCGGATCCAATCGTCCTCTCGGGTGATACCACTGGCAAACTCGTGGAACTGCGAACTGTCCGTGACAAGGTCAGAGGAGTCGGCGCGGAGAAATCTAGGACGAGACATGGAGTGTCGGCGAGGTGTGACCTGGCGAGGTGCGGCAAATGCCAGGGCTGAGGTTCGCTTGGGGGTTGAGGGAGATTCGGCCTTTGATGTTGCGTCCTTCTTAGTGCTCTCGGTGTACCGAGGAGGAGTGTTCTGGGTAGAGGCGGGTCGAGCTGGGCATGCAAACTTGATGCACGACTTGCGAGGAGCTTCCTGAGCAGAAGGCGCCTTGACCATAGGTTGGGATCGAGGGGGTTGTTCCTGGACCACGGGCTTGCCACCACATGCAAACTGAATGCTTCGCTTGCGAGGCTCCTCAGTCTTGCCCTGCTGTAATTTGACAGCAGCGCCTAGCAAAGAAACATGCGTAGGCTCGGCAGCACGTCCATCGTGCAAGCGCAGCATGGCCATTTCAGGAAGAGGGGGGCTTGGTGTGTTCGGTCTCGAGGGGCTAGTGAAACCAGTATCGCTGGTGAGGTCGGCTGTCGAAGCGAAGCTTATGTTGCTGACAAGGGAGCGACGTCGCTGGGTGTTGGCCATGGGTCGTGAGATAGTCTGGGGAGTGTATAGGTCGTCGTCCGAGTTTCCATTGATAGCCTTGGTCAACAGAGAGGACTTCTCAGTGGAAGGTCGAATGGTAGTTCGCTGGAAATCGTTGGCAGTAAACTGCTGTTTCTTGAGGGCCATCTCAGGCGGTTCGTCGGCCTCTTCGAGCTCTTCTGAACCGTGAGCCACCCATAGGGTGTCTGGGTTATTGGTAGTCATGTTGGTCGTCATATTGGTAGGTAGAGTTCTTCGACTTTGTGGAAGTGTGGGGGTTGAGCTGGATCCAAACAAAAATTTCGAATCGTGATCAGGAGATTAGGAAAATAGTCGTTGAAGTGGTCGAGAAGGCGTGCAGTTGTGTGTGTCGTATAGTAGTTGAGGTGTAAGACGTTGCGGTTGTGTTATTGCCTGGGCAATGGCAGCGTCGAAGGAGGCGTTTAAAAGTGTCCCTGAGGACAGTGGTGCTATAACAGCAAGACAAACATCGTCAACTGCAATAGAGTAGAGTAGGTTGTTGGTTGGGGTGGTTGCTTTGTCCGTGAGGGTGCTTTGATATGGGTCGATGGCAGAAGTGAGATGCAATGCAGGCCCGGGCCGGACTGGGCTTTTGAGTAGAAGCTAGAAGAGGAGTAGAAAAGGCGGCTGATTCCCAAGTTGCAGGATTTCCCCAATCTCAATTCAGGGTGGCGTCTGTGCTGTGCTGTGTAGGTGGGTGTATGGATTGTTGTGGGTGTGTGAGAGCCGCTGTTCTGTTTATTGCGCGTGGAGACTGCTGCATATGACGTTCTCCGAGGGCGGGCACGAGTACGGCACAGTTTTGTAGTGTAACTCTATGTACAGTACAGTACAGATCAAGGTCTGAGACAAAGTTGCTCGACAGGGACAAGGGGGGGAGGGATAATGGATGGACGGATGCTTTGTAGATTGTTTTAGAAGAAACAACTAAAAACACCGAACAGAATAGAACAAAACAAAACAAAGAAAGGGCGGGAGAAGGGCGAGGCAATTATTTGAGGGAGCAGAGAAAAAAGAGAGAGACGAGGGTGGCCTCGGGTCCCGTCTTTTTGATTTATTAATAAGGTAAGCCTTGTCAATCGGCGCGAAGCAACGAGAATGGAAAGAAAAATGCAGGTGGAAATGAACGAAAATTGACGGGAATACCTGACGCTACAGAGAAGATGTGAGCGAAAAAAAGGTACTGGCCGACACTGGGCGGAGGTCACTCTCAGGTTGGGGCCAACGACGACAAGGAACGGGATGAAATTTAGGGGGGGCCGTTCCCTGAGATACCCTAAATTAAGAGGACGATGGGCGATTTGCCGTGCCAGGAGCGGGTAAAAAAATGGAGTCCTGTTGACCTGGGCCAAAGAAATTTTACTAGCACGGGTCAGAAGCAGAGGAATTGACTGGCCTGACTGACTGGCTTGTTACATTTCACAGGGCGCCATGTGCTAAGGGCTCAGGGCAGGGCTTCAGGTAATACGCTATCACCAATTGATGCTGAGGTGTGAGTGGACATGACTGACTTTGTTATTGACTGAGTGACTGACTGACTTGAAGTGACTGACTGATGGAAGCCAAGTTTCGAGTAAGCCCCAGCCTTAGCCCTCCTGAGGAAGATGAATTCCTGGTTCACGGCATATTTTTGCGCCCTTTTTTTCGTGTCCTCCTGGGGCTAGGCATTTCGATGCCTAGATCGATCCATGGCTTTTTCCCCCTGCTGACTGGCTGACTTTCTTGTCGCTGCCAGCACCTCGAGAGAGTAAATCAAGGTGCCAAAATAAGCTGGTCCAAAAGCCCGCTGAAACATACTAAGCTCTACCTAATTCTTTTTGTCACTTTCCACACAGGTACTGAGTTGCTAGTAACTTTTCTCGTCTCCCCTAGCCGCGAAAAAAATAAAAAACCATGCCCTGTAAATGACTTGCTCCGCTGCAGACGCTCCGAATCGAGTCCGCTTTTCCACGGCGCCGAGAAAACAGAGCAGCCGTATAGGATCCATTTCGATTCAAAATTACAGATCCAATTCTTGAGGCGAGCATTTACGCATTCCGAGGTCCCAATTTCGGTACGCAGACCGCTCTCAAGTTATTCAGCCCAGTGCATTTCTCCCTTTTCTCTACAGTACAGCAGTACGGTACGTGGTCGACACCATCCCCTCTGAGGCTTTGTCCTGTCAGGGTCTTCTCAATTGACTAGTGGCGCCTGTCAGCGACGGCCAAAGTGAGATAGAGCGTAGATCCACGCTGTTCCGTACCCGAAAACAGGTCGCCCTGATCTACTGTGTGTCACACCGTCCTGACTCTGTCCTGACTCTGAGAGGCCTGAGGGTTGTCGGGCAGTTTCAGGGTCACGACTCGCTGCATCGTATACCGTGTGAAGATGACAAGAGAGGCGCTACTTGCACTGCCCTCCTCCAAGCCTCATGCTCGCATAATCGCCCGCAACAAAATACGGTATGGTACAGTAAAGTACTGTACAGCACATTAAAGTTCTGCATCTTCCTTTCCAGAAGCAAACCGCCACAGAATTCTTGACCGTTGATTCATCATCCACCCTCGGCAAGGCCCACAATGGAATCGTCGCTTGTACTTGTGAACCTCCACTTCCCACCAGTTACGAAGCGTGGTTTTGGTCGTACTAAGCAAACACCAGCCGCTTTCATATTCGAGGCGGTGTATCTGTAAATCGCATAGCACAGCATTATTAGCTGTTGTTGATGTTGATGTATGTATGTTGCTGTCGTGTTGTATTGGTCATTTGATGGCTTGTGACTGACAATCAGTCACTTTGCCAACCAAATCCTCAGATGATAGACATTGACTTGACACACAACTTGCTTGTTTCAGTACGCAGTCACCCCGCGCAAGGGACCCGTTAGCCTATCTATGCCAGAAGGGTTGATGCGCAAGATGCGCCACAGGCCGCTTTGTTGATCTTTTGGCTGGAGGTTTGGTCTGTCTGTAACAGGCGTATGTAGAGGCGTCGACAAAGCCTCGTCTGGTCTATCTCACGCACGCCTTTTATCAGTGTAACCATGCACAATGCACAAAGAACAGCAACACGAGTTGAGTTACCTTTCATCGCCTACATACTTTCTTTGCCTTCTCAATCAGGCTTTGTTGCACTGAATATTGCACGTTTCTACTCTTGGCTAACCCCAAGCCGTGGGGGTACAGGCCACAGAGCACAGCAGAGCAACAACTGATCCAGACCTGATGCTCGCCTCGTCGCTCTTCAACTTCCCCACAATCACCTGTTCCGTTCATGACAGGACTGCCTTTCTACTGGTGCCATTTCCGCTCTCGCAAGCTAAGCTGCCGTCTGCGTCTTCGTCTGCGATCTACCCTTGCTCCAGGGACGCACGCAGTAACCGCCTTAGGTGCCATGTTGTCTCTCTCCAATCTGCATCAACAGCAACCCCTTCGTCCATCCACCAATTGGACCCTTCTCTTGCAACCAGGCTCGTGAGCTCTCCCACGTCTGGCCCACTTGCATACAGAAATGCATGCAATGCAAGCCAGAAATCCCCCGATGACGACAGTTTGGCATGGCCATGGCCATGGACGTGTCTTACTGCTAGCTAGCCTATCCATGTGCCCGCAGAATCAATCACTGGACGCATGAAATCCGAGTCAAGAATCCTTTCAGATCCTCAGAGATCATCTCTCAGGTTTATTACAAAGGACCCTGAAACCGACTAATATAGCAAACAGAAACAATCGTCTCTCTCTCTTGTCTCTCAAGTTGACAGATGAAACGGCTGTAGGGTCCTTTGTACGACCTAAGCTGCGCGATATCCGAGCTTCTCGTGACTCGCATCACTTCGTTTAATACTGCGACGATCATGGAAGGTGTCTGAAACTGTCCAATCTTATCTGGCGCTGTTTACTGATCGCCAATTGCCTCGGTCTCTTCCCGTGAGTTGGAGCTGCATGCAGGCAGTGCAACCCCCCCTTGAACTTGCTTGAGCCTTGAGCAACCAAGGAATGACAGTCGGGGTCTCGGTCTTTGCGATAACGGACCTGTCTGATTTGATATCAGTTCTCTACTGGCGGCTATGTCAATTGGTACGCGTAGTATCGTACATACAGCAGCACATTGGCCAAGACTGGACAAGCTGGTTCACTCTCACTCTCACTCTCTGGCTTCCTTGAACATTGACGCTCCGCGCTCCTCGTCACGTTGACCCGTCCTGCTGGGCACTAACCCCGCGTTGTGAAGTCAGACCCCGCATCTTAAAACAATATGACAGTCAACGCGGTATCAGCGCGTAGCTGTTAAATTCGCATGTTACTCTGCTGTGCTTATGTTTGTTTGAGAGGGTGTCTTCTGTGCTCTCGCTCATGCAGCCCAGATAGCCTTCTGAAGTTGACTGTCCAGTGTCCTTCACCCACAGCCCACCCACTCTTTAAACAGGGCTCTGACATCGCGAGACTCCGGCGGTGAACATGCTATTTCTTTACGTTGTTGAAATTGCGGCTGGGATCACGAACAAGAAAACATCGAGCTACAAAGAGGATAATGATCACGAGATGACCGCCATCATGGCAACAATGGAGTCAGCTCTGTGCATTCAAGATGCTCAGCATATTACCGCTAAGCAGTATATGGGATAGCCATTAACAGGATATTCTGAGAAGTCGTTTCGATACACTTCTCGAATTCTAACTGCATCCAACATACCTACATAGACTTTGATCTAGCTGGTTTGGAGACCGAGCACATGGATCTCAAAAGTATCGCATTGTGACACTGGCGAACGCTGAAGAGGGTGCAGATGCATTTATCTACGGGAGATACCTACATTGATCAACTAATGCTCATCAAAGCAATGTCACCACCGTGTAAGTCCTTACCCGCACCTCGCATATCGACCCGCATGCCGCAAAGCTCCATCTCTCTGCATCGTCAAACAGACCCAGGTCTCGGCCGGTTATACCACTGGACTGGCCCGACTCAGAGGACCCATCATCTCATTGATTTTGCGCCGAAAACAGAGAAGACTGTTGCGCGGTTTTTTGGCAAAGGAGGTGTGGACTGCTGCATGATGGGTTGTACAGCATTCGATGGAGCTGAGGAGGTGAACTGGACTCTCATCTCATTTTCCTTTGTCGTTCTCCCTACCCGGTTCCTTTCATCCTGAGAAGAGCCGACCGCCCGTGAGATGGCTCGATGTTGATACAACCGCGGGATATGGGTGCCCATCAGAAGCCACA